GGTGGGGTGGTCACGGTGTGGTCGCGGGTGTCTGCGTGGGTGCGTGTGTTTCCAGCGGCCGGAGACGGCCTTGGCCTACACGCTCCCGGTGTGGAGCGCCATGGCCGAATAGCAAGGTCCGGCGGCGAGTAGAGGAAGAACCGGGGCTCACCATTGGTGTTGGAGTCGAATGGATAGCGGTGCAGTGGCGGGTTGTGGCCATGTAGCTCCGGATGTCGTGTAGTGCCGTGCGGCGTTGTGGCGTCGTCCTTGCTTCGGTGGCTTCGGAGGTGCTCCGTCGGCGGCTCCTTCTTCTTTCTCCCGCTCCCTTCCTTCTTCCTCTCTTGGCTCTCTCTCTTGGCTCGGGTGTGCAGAGGGTAGCCACAAGGTGGCGGCGGGGCGTTGGGAGCTCGGGGCGCTAGGGCAACCGAGGCTGGGCTTTTATAGCCGAGCACCAAGCTTCCATGGCGGACGGTGATCGATCGGTGGAGAGACGGGCGAGGCATCCTACGGTGGTGCGAGGTTGCGTGGGCGCGGCGCCAAGGAGACAGGGGCATGCCCCGGGCGTGACCCCCTGGCCCGCCCCTGCCAGTGCTGTCGGGGCTCGGTCGGAGAGGGGAATCGGCGTGAGCGGTCGGGGGCGTGGCGTGGAGAAGATGAACAGGAGGGCTGACATGCGGGGCCTGTGTGGCAGCGGCAGCAGGCGAGCGGAGGGCGCGCGGGCGTGCTGGGCCGGCTAGTGGGCCGGGCGCGTGTGCTGGGAAGACGGGAAAAAAGGGGGGTTGGGCTGGCTGGCTGGCGCGGGCCGAGCAGGCCGAGCCTGCGAGGCCTTCTTCTTCCCTTTTTCTTTTTCTGTTTTATTTTCCTTCTCCTTTATTTGAATTCAATTTTGATTTTTAAATTTGGATTCCAAATTGGTGCACCAAATTCATTGGAGTTTTGATATGAGGCCCACAACATACTTATATAAATATTAGGAATTTATTTAGCTATTTTGTATAACAAAACTAGGTGTGGTTTTCGTTATACAAATGTAGAATTAGTTTTTCTCTTTAAACCTTTATTCCTTGGTTTGAATTTTAATTATTTCATGGTTTATTATCTTATTGGAGTTGTTAAGCATATCATAACTCAAATGGAAATCCAAATCACATTTTGAATTAACAATGTATGCAATACTTTATTTGTTAGAATTTAAATAAACACAATTAACTAATGACATGCCATGCTTATGTGTTAACTTGAGTTGGGGTTAGGCCTAATGCATTTCTTAGGTTGGTTTTCTATACATGACACTCATCATTACATGGAAGTTCTAACAAAAATTTTGTAGTTGGTATTTTTGGTGTGTGTGGATTTTTGGGTTGTTACAGATCCCGCCCGGGATCGCAGCCGCGCCTCCCACAACCTCGTAGAGGTCTTGAATGCGGCCGGGGGACAGGTTCTGGGGTCGCTGTAAAGAAGTTCACTGCTGGTTCATTATAAGTGGTAGAGGTAGAGATGGATATGAGAAAGAGTGAAGGATCATGGAAACACCCCTTACAATCTTACGTGGGTTAGGTTCTATCGCCCTGTTCGTTTGGGCTGGTTTAGCTTATAAGGCATGGCTGAAAGTACTGTTGGCTGGTTTGGTGTGAGAAAAAAATACTGTTCGTTGGCTGATAAGCCATGGCTTATAAGCCAAATACGACCAAATGAATAGGCTGTATATCATTTCAGTCTGTCCACCCCAATGCTACTAGTGCCCTTATCAGGTTTTGAGGCTTGGCGCTTGAACGGTTGATGGCCCAAATTTGGTTGCAAAAAATGGTCTAAGACAAGTTTTTAGGTTTCCACTTTGTTTGCTACCAAAAATTATTCATCTCTTATATTTGGCTTATCAAATCTATGGTAAATATTTTTGTTCAACTTTTGGTAGCTTTTGTTTGGCATTTTTCTTATATTTCAAGTACCTGAATTTTAAGATGATTTTAGGCAACACCCTTGTACTACCAACAAGTACAAGTAAATTGCCACTTTTGTGATTTGTTATTTGTCTTTGTGTCATAACATATCAATTTTTTTGTCCCTGTCCGTCTTATAGAAATAATTGTAAATTATTAAATTACTTTTGTACCAATACATATTAGATTATGTCATCTTTGTGGTTTTGTCTAACGGGTTTTTTATTCTCGAAACCAAAATTGCAGATTGTGTCTACAGAAATTGCAACGAACTAAAACTGTAATTTTAGTATAAAATATATGCAATAACCGTCCCCGGAAGAAAACTAGAATTCAAGCACTTGAAATTTAGCAAATCCTTTGTTTGGTACTAGTGGCCATGCACGTGCGGCACATATCGTGTCTATTAAAAATCAAGAAAATATAGTGAAAATTTTTGTGAAATAATAATGCACATTTAGAGAATTCATGTAATAGATGATTAGAGCATCTCCAAGAGCCTCTATAAAATCTACGCTCTAATCATCATTTAGAGAGTCATTTGAGTAAAAATCATTTTCTATATCTTTATACTCTCCAACAGCTTTTCTATATCTTGTGCGCAGTCTAGAGAGCCATCCTCACTCTCCATCTTTGTCTAGTGAGAAATCTGAAACAGATGATATCTATTTTTAGATATCCAATTGAAGAGGCTGTTGGAGGGTGTTTTTTCACCAAAAATCTCTATTCATGTAAAGTAGGAAAGATATAAAAAGTCTGTAGCAGATATTCCTAGAATTCAAATAGAAATGAATTGTGTATAGTATTGCAACAGAAGTTGGCTGCTCAATTCATGTAATGGATGACAAGAATTTAGACAGTAAATTATGACATTCTTTTTACAAGAACCGTTATTTACCTCATAGTTGGAAAAAAAAAACAAACGATTGAATTATCAATTAGACAAGGCTTAAGTAGCCACCTGCATAACCCACTTGATCATGAGTTGGCTACAGAATTTCAGGAAATACTTAGATCTTCCACCATAATAAATAATGGTTCTGAATATAGCTTTGTGGCCCTAACCTGAATATATCTTCCATGTTTACCTTGGTGTACTATCAGTCTTGGTAGGACTTTGTGCTAGCATAATAAACGCAAGACATTTGATACACAAAAGAAATATTGATGCAACATTACCTGCATTAAATTCTTTCACACATGTTTCAGATTTAACTTGTGTCCATGTGCCAAAAAAAAATAAACACAAGAGCTCAAGCATGACCTATTCAAAGAGGCAATTTCATATTCCATTTGACCAGCTAATTATTTAATTGACTGATAATATAATGTTCTTTGTGATAGATATTTGTGCTAAGCAGACAAATTTCAAAGAACTAATGGAGCTATTAAAGGCTACAAATAGTCCATTAATACAATCTACCATATCAAATCAGCTGCGTGTATTCTAGACTTCATCACATGAATAAAGTGACATACCTGCTGAGTAATCGGCGCTACTAAAAATTCCTAACACCCTTCACAAATCTATATCCAAAACAAACACAACATTAGTAACTATCCGCTACATGGATGAATCTGGTGGCATGTGGCGACCTACAGAAAAAAGAGGCAGAAGGATAAGGAAGCATCAAGACACCATCAATTATAAAATCCATATAACCAAGCAAATCCAACAGGAGCTAATATTATGGACAACCGGATTCTTTACCTCCTAAAAAACAGTACAATCCAAGAGGAGCTGATAAAGCATCCTGAATCAGTTCCATATTTTCGGTCTATTTATTGTCAATTTCATCCATAGTCTTGTTGACATCATCAATATTTTGAAGGACATAGTAAATAATCATTTTGTAATCTTGAACAATTAGTTGCACATAGAATTCCACCGTAAATAGAAACGCGCCACAAGTGTGCATGTCTTCTAAATACTAATTATTAGTCTTATTTCAGGATTTGAATGCACTATTTTTTGGCCTATGGTTCTACACAGCTGTTAAAGGAATATGCCTGACTATCCAAATAAGTAGTAAAAACAAAACGATCATTATTTGGGAATAAATAGAAAATGATGATATTATCTGCTATGTAGCGGAAGTAGCAAATAAACACCTTGTACTCTAGGAGACCGCTCACCAGTTTGTATGAAGTCACCACATTTAACAAGCTGCCGACTAAGAAAGCGGCCATATATAGGTAAAAAAAAAAATGCATGACACAATGCATGTTATTAAATATAAATGCCGGTTCATGTGATGAATCAATCATCATATATCCTAGCGCTACCTAATCAGTTAAGCATCCTGGACGATAGTAGAGCTGCCCGTCCTCATTGGCCTTCCTGTGCAGGTTGAACAGCTCCTTAACCATGAAGATTTGGATGAACCCCACCATGGCCTAGATATAGAGATACTCCACGTACATATATCAAGATTCAAAAAGATGAATCTGGCCATCATCCACAGCAAGTAGGTCCCAACGTGCATTGGTGCAACGACAACTTGTATTTCTTCTCAATAGTACGTAGAAGAGCTATGACTGGAAGAAGAGGCACACCACTCGAAAACTGGACTTTGTCGAGTGCCTGAGACTTTGCCGAGTGCTTTTTATCGGGGCACTCGGCAAAGCAATATTTTGCCGAGTGCCGCACTCGGCAAAGCAATATTTTGCCGAGTGCCGCACTCGGCAAAATAAAGCACTCGGCAAAGGTGGCTTTGCCGAGTGCCAGACACTCGGTAAAGCCTGGCTCTCGGCAAAACTGGGCTTTGCCGAGTGCCGCTGCACTCGGCAAAGATCCCACTCGGCAAAAGGTGGCTGGCCCGTGACGGCGGCCACCTGCCGTCAGATTTTGCCGAGTGCCTAACGGCTGGCACTCGACAAAAAAAAAATTATTTTTAAAAACTTATTTTGTCGAGTGCCAGCTCCAGGCACTCGGCAAACTTATTTTGCCGAGTGCCAGCCCCGCCCTCGCGCCCGCGTGCGCCCGCGCCCTCCGCCGGCCTCGCCCGCTACCGCGCCCGTCGCCGGCCGCGCCGGCCGCGCCCACCCCCGTCACCCGTCGCGGTGGTGGCGGCGCTCATGGAGCTCTGTGAGGCGCTGTCGTTCTGCGCGGAGGACGCCGGCGGGTACTTCCCCACGGAGGCAGCCGCGCGGGCGCTGGTGCGGCGGGCCGGCGGCGGCGGCGATGGCACGGGGGCTACCCCGGACGTGATTCTGCTGTCCGTGCGCGCCATCACGTACCTCTGCGACGCCATGCCGCGCGCCGGGGACGCCGTTGTCCGCCACGGCCTCCTCCCCGTGCTCTGCTCCCGGCTGCTAGCCATCGAGTACCTCGATGTAGCTGAGCAGGTAACCCAAAAGCTCTCACGGCCTGATCGGATGATCACATTTACCCTGATGCGTTTTATCCGACCATTCTGTTGCGTATGCAGTGCTTGCAAGCTTTTGAGAAGATATCACGGCGGCAGCCTACCCAGTGCTTGCAGGCGGGCATGATCAACGCTGTGCTGGCAATCCTGGCATACATTGACTTCTTCGCTGCAAGCATTAAGGTTAGAATCTTAAAGAAATCACCTCTGAAACTGAGAATTGAGTACATTTGCTAATTTGATGCCCACTTCCATGGTTCAGAGGGTTGCAGTGTCAGCTGTCGCAAATGCCTGCAAGAAGGTCCCGGCAGATTGCTCCCAGTTTGTTCTGGATTCGGTCCCAACTCTCTGTAATCTTCTGCAATCTGAGGACAAAATGGTACTGTTGTTCCCCCATATAATTGAGATCATTTTGGCATGTAAAGAGTGCTCTGCTTTTGTTTCTAAGTGATGTCAATTTCCAGATAGTGGAGAAGGTTGCAGCTTGCTTGATAAGCATCGTGGACTCCTTTAGCACTTCAGTTGATCTTGTGGACCAGCTCTGTCACCAGGGTGTTATAGAGAAGGTCCTACCTTTGATCCACACTGGTGGACTCATGGCCCTTAGCCCATCGACACGCAGTGTATGTTTTCTCTACAACAATTTGTTGCGTGTGCTCGATATGTGTTGAGGCAGCTGACTATTGTGTCTCGTGGTTGCAGAATCTGATTGGGCTTCTTGCTAAGCTAGCCTGTACTTCACTTGTGGCAGTGAAGTCTCTATTTGAGCTGGGTGTTAGTAGCACAATAAAGGGGATTTTGATCACTTCAGACATCTCCCATGGCATGCCATACTTGCCTCTGGAAAAACAAAACAATCAGGTTGGCCTTTTCACATCTTTACTTCTAGCCAAGTAGTACAAGATGTGCATAGCGGATGTGTTCTGTTGCTCGCTGATAACAATAATTTTTTTTATAGCTATCATGATGTATACTTTTCTTTTTATAAGCAAAACAAAAGATTACGCGTGTGCTCTTCCCATGACTCATGTGCATTCAATAGTTTTTCTTTTGCATGTGATATTGATTTACTAGTATATTTATATGAACTGATGAAGTTTGGTGAAATGAAGATAATGTCAGAGATTTTCCCTAGTGGTTATGCCAGAGTGCATGCCAACACTGTGTATTTGGCATGCCATATTTTTAGAGCGCAAACTACATTTACAACTTCTTACAATTTCACCAAATGCATTGCTTCTTTTATTAATCTACTCTTTTTTAGTCCGTTAGCAATTTATTTGAAAATGGGCACTTTTTTCCTAGTACTCTGGTTTTCCGCTTGATAGTAGGTACATCGCAGGTAGACAAGATCGTTTCCATTACACAGCATTTTTTTATTATAAATTTGAAACAAAAATAATAGAAAAGAAGAAACGAGTATATAGAAATCCTAGAAACTTGCTGTTTTGTTGGAACATCCCTGCTGGCAGTTTTAGGCCCTGAAAGTTTTTTTTTTTATTTTTTAAAAAAAGTACTTTGCCGAGTGCCCCTGCCCAGTCACTCGACAAAGTATTTTTTTTTAAAAAAAATTAGAAATTCTTTGCCGAGTGCCTAAACAGGGGCACTCGGCAAAGAAATTATTTAAAAAAAATAAAAAAAAACTTTGCCGAGTGCCTGGGCAGGGGCACTCGGCAAAGTAATTTTTAAAAAAAAAATAAAAAAAACTTTGCCGAGTGCCTGGGCAGGGGCACTCGGCAAAGTACTTTTTTTTAAAAAAAAAACTTTGCCGAGTGCCTGGGCTAGGGCACTCGGCAAAGTAATTTTAAAAAAAAATTGACGAGTGCTGGGTCGGGCACTCGGCAAAATAACCGTTAACGGCCGGCGCCGCAATGGCCGAAAATATTTTGCCGAGTGCCTCCCCAAGCACTCGGCAAAATTTTTTTATTTTGCCGAGTGCCCCGATAAAAAGCACTCAGCAAAAACCCTTTGTCGAGAAAAATTTTGCCGAGCGGACTTTGCTGAGTGCTACACTCGGCAAAGCCTTTGCTAAGTGCAAAGGGCTCTTTGCCGAGTGTAAAAACACTCGGCAAAGCCGTGGCCTCCAGCCGTGGCAGCTTGTTGCCCTTGCTCTACTTCGACTAAACCTTTGTTGTAGCGACAACACGTCCTGTATCAGATGCCAATGCCTACGCCGAGGATTCATGCACGTACACGTGTATGGAATCACCCACCACAGGAAACAAGTCATGATGCTTGCGGCGGGAGCAGGTGATGACACTACGTCACACAGGATTTATAGGTGTGGCTCAAGACCATTTGTAGGAGCGGTTTGGCCAGCCGTCTTTATCAAACCGTCTCTATAAATCATGTATTTGTAGGGGCGGCTCCCAGACCAAGCTTACAAATAGATTTGTAGAGGCGGCTGGTGTTATCAGCCGCCCCTACAAATCGATTTGTAGGGGTGGCTGGTCCTCTACAAAATAGATTTGTAGGGACGGCTGTAGTACCAGCCGCCCCCACAATACCTGTTTGTAGGGGCGGTTCAGTTTAGAACAGCCCCTACAGTACATTTTTCCGCTAAAAAAATTTAAATTTATAATTCAAATTCGACCGAAAATATATATATATATATATGCATATATAATTCAAATCTGACCACAAGCACAAGGTGTTGGTCCTGAGGATTTCTACCTAAGTGAACATTACAAGTATGTTCACGTAGCAACACCAGAAGTGACCCAGAAGCGAAGACCATGAATAAACTAGTTAAACGCTACTGCAATAGCAACATGCAGTTCCTAAGAGTGTGAGACAGATAAAGTCGTATAATATCATAAGTGTGCCAGTGTACACAACATCAATGTCATACACCAATTGCAACTCAGGAACTGCTTTTCTCGCTGCGATCATAAGTTCCATGATAGGAGTAGCTCCTAATCTGCACATTAGAGATGGGGTTAAAGAACAAAGTTACAAACTATACTCAATTCAGAACAAAGTGGGGAGAAAGGAAATAGCTACAGTTATAAAGTAAATAAGTAATGTACACTTTCAAAGAGATCATCAGAAAAAAGTGAATTTTAATCTAAGTACGATTTATATGGATAGACAATATTATAACCACGCTGCCATAAGCTCTCAATCCTCTCATATATAGCGTTAAATACATTTTGTAACAACTAATAAGCAGAAGTAATTAATGTAGTAGGCATGCCAAAGTTAAATTTGAAAAAAGAAAAAATATTTCTAATGCTATGTCTGACTCAATCATGTGAGCCCTTCCAGCTATTCCAAGTCTCTGGCCTATCCGAGCCACGTAATGAAGTGCTATAGAGATGGTAATAAGTAATCTTTCAGGAATTCAAAATGGATGCCCCCTACCCCGGCCACCATCAGCAAACAAAGAAATTATCCATAAAAGACGATGACCTGGGTACAAGTGACATTAATATGCAACCTTCTAACCAGATCCCTTTGATGTATGACGAGGGGAGGTAGAAGTCTCCAACTGAAACATACTCATAATTTTTAAATTGTTGTTGCTTTCCCATGTATGATAATTTTTTCACTGCAAGTCTAGTGTTGTATATCCGGGATAAGTTTACAGGAAACAACTTTCACAGTAACCCATAAAAAGAATGAGCAATGAGATCACCAAAACCAACTAACCAAGATTGAAAATGCGAACTTGCTCATCATGAAAGATGAAGAAAAGATAGGGAACACATACAAGATACAATTAACCTCGTGCTACTGATTCCGCAAATATTATTCAATTTATACAGTGGCGAGAAATGTTCAGATTTGTATTACCCATTCACTAGGAGAACAGCACTGCAACCCCTTGTGATAGGAAGATACTGCGTTTCCTGCAAGGATGCAAGGCCACCAAATGAATAATTAATAGCAGCCAAGTTAGCCATACTGCCATAGAAAGTCCCTATTTTACAAAGTGCATTTACTGAGAGTGTGAGACAGATAAAGTCGTATAATGTTCCACTAAGGAAAACCATCCCAGGAGAGGATTTGTCCTCATTCCTTGTAATACGCATTCAACCCCCATTGTCATCCTTACCTCTCCTGTAATCCAGGCTTGTCTTAATAAAAACATGCTGCTTTTTTGGTAAACGGGAAAAAGGATATGTCTGGAACAGAAAGGAGAACCTCAAAGCTGAGACAAACTATAGCTTTTGCCTTTTCTAAATAATTAATCGACACTACACACAGTTCAGCAAATGTTTGGCAATTGAAGGTAAGAAGAAATGAAGCTTAGTAAGATGAGAGCAGTGCAATGCTTCACAGTTTACACTTATAAAATTGAACAAAATGGAGCACTGCAGTTTAAAAATAATGGAGAAAAGTACCAGTATCCCTACATCAAGCATACATATTTATCCAAAACAACCCACAGTTTGGCCCCTTCCAAAGCAAATACAGATGTACCACAGACTTCTTATTGAACTAAAATTGATATGTCCCAAGCAAATTTCAGAAAAGCAAATGTTATCCCTCCTCTCTATCCATTCATGCATGAACACAGGACGATAGGTGGAGGAAATGGTAGTTATTGATGTGGTAATAAATAAACAATGCACGGTCCCAAAGCATCAGATACTCATATTGCACAATCCTCAAGTGTACTAAAAGATCCCTCTTATCTCATGATTTGACATTTTAAAGCTGATATCACAGTGAGAGTACCTTTACTATTAGAAGGCACCCTAGGGGACCAGTTACAACTCGAATAGCCTACATTGAGAAGATGCAGTTAAATGTTAGCTAAGATGATTTATGCTGCTTAAGAAGCTAGACATTGTTTTACTAAAAAAAGAAACATACAGCTAAAATAGAAGTTCATACATATGACAACAGCTATATATATGAAAAAAATATTCATTAGTGAGAGCCCACAACAGTTGGCAAGGCTAAATAAAAGTTCATACATGGTGGTAGACTTAGAACCACATATGACAAGGCTCTCAAGTACTCTGTCTGTCCCAATCCAAAAGACAGAGAACCTAATATATTTACGGAGGTCGGGATGGTACATATTGGAAATATTTGGGATAAATATAGCATGCACCACCACTATACTATTTTGCTAAGCTATAAGAGGTATAAACATACATAGCTAATTAAATATGGAAAATATATTTCCAGAAGAAAAACCATTTAGACCATGGTTGTCTTCTAAAAATCAGAATAATACCATAGTTATTCATCGATACTTACTTCCTGCATTTAAAATTTGAGGTACTTGGTGCTTGCCGTTGTAGCTTGCTTGTTTACTGTTGCCTCCCTGGTTGGTCGATGCCTCAGCCTTAGCTGTCCTGCACTGCGCAAAGGGGAAGATGGAGGGAGGGAGGATCTGGGTGAGGACCATGAGACGGAGGACGGATCTGGGTGACGAGTCATGAGACAGAGAAAAAGAGGGTGAGGTACCTCCAGATCTGGCCACCAAGCCGATCCGCTGAGGAAGAGGCCACGCGCGCGTAGACGGAGGCGTCGAACACAGGCACCTAGGGTTTTGATGTTTCGTCGAGCCCAAGAGCGCACGCGGACCGATGGGAGGAAGCCGTGTCGGGGGTGGCAGTCGTGGCAACGACCACCTGCGGGGGCTCACTGGCGCCCGTGCGCCGCCGTCCCGCCCGCGCCGTTCGCCGGCCGGTGCGCCGCGCCATCGCGAGAGAGAGGGGAAGGTGAAAGCAGAGACGAACGAGGGGACCAGCACGCCGCCACGTCGGGAGAGAGGGAGAAGAAGGGACGACGGGGGCGGAGGCAGCGGGAGCGGGACCGGTGGGGGCGAGGGTCGCGGGAGGCTCGGCCAGCGCGCCTCGTGAGAGAGCGAGAGAGGGAGCGGATGGGAGAGTTTTTTTTTTGTTTTGCGATGAGTAGGGGGAGAGGTGGGAGATATT